TCTGCACAGGTGCCACTTATTCAGAAACGAAACAAACATGCTGTGCCACACACACACACACACACACACACACACACACACACACACATGAACGCACGCACACACGCAGGGGTGGTCAGCATCTACTGTTTCAGATGTGGGTACCTGGCTGTGAAGAAGAACAAGAGGAGAAGGTAAAAACAGGTGTGGGACGGGATGTAGTCGAGAAGAACAGTGCACATGTACAGTAACTCATTCAAGGCTCTCTTAAGAAAACCTTCAGTCCAAATCCCCAGGAAATCCCCAAGATGACCGGTCCACCACGCAACAGCTTCCCTGGAGTTAATGCTGGTGATGCCCTTGAATTACACACGGGTCTGTCTGCTTCATTCGGTGTGAAAGTTCCAGACAGCCTGAGGCGCCTTCCTGTTCACAACAGCACCTCCACAAGGGTGAACACATCCAGCCTCTTTCCAGGGGTGGACTCTGGAGAGCCTCGGCCTCGCTGCTTCCCGTCTGCCCGTTCTCAGCATCTGTGTGTGTGTGTGTGTGTGTGTGTGTGTGTGTGTGTGTGTGTGTGTGTGTGTGTGTCTGTGTTCGTGACTCTGAGCCCTATCTGGATCCTGAGTTCTTGTCACTTCCTTCCTTTTGTCCAGAATCCGTTAGAAACCGCTTGCGGCGGGTGGTGGGAGCTCACGGCTGCCCTCGGCTTCTGCGAATTGTGCTACTGTTCTGTTCTCGGCTATTTGCCAACCCACACCACAGACAGCCCCGTTCGGGGCTTCCACACAGGTGGACAGATGGCAGCGGCCCCAGGAAAGGCTGTCACTCCTGTAATAAGGCTTTGCAGCATCAAACATTGATTATTGTGACAATGCGCATCCTTCTTCAGCTGGCTTTCTTGGAGGGGGGGGGGCTGTTTGTTTTAAAATGGTGTCTGTCATTGTCAACCACCTTCTCCTCAGTTAGGCCTGGCTCCGCAACCCGGTCCCCAAATCTCTCTCCCTTTTCCTGGTTCGTTTTACTCTTTGCACTGATCACTTGCCTACCTTGATCTTCTTTCTCTCTACAACTACTGTCTGCTCACCATTCCTAACCAGATGTGAATGCCGTGACATCAGGAACTTTGGCTATTTGCCCAGTGTGGGGCTAAGAAGGCCACTGTGAAATGGAGAGGTAAATAATGATTGTGACATAATATGGTGAGGCCCTCGTGGGTCTTTACCTGTGCCTGGACCACAGTAACCAACCTCTAAATGGAGTTGGTAGGAAGAGCAGGAGGATCCGGATTTACCAACTCACCGACTCACGAGGCTGTCATTTGATAGTCTCAGGACCTATTGTCCTCACCCGTGAAAGCCCTAAGCCCCGCTCCCCAGCCCTGGGGGATATAATAATCAAAAGCTACAGTTGCTGTTTATTGAACACTTACTGAGTCCCGGGCACAGGACAGTCTTGCTGTCTTCTTAGCTGACAGTGCTCACTACCCTACGATTTCATTTTCATTGGTTCACATATGAGGAAACTGGACACAAAGAGAGGTTAGTTCATTCACACAAGGCTGCAGAGCTCGGGGGTGGCAGAACTGGGATTCAAGTCTGGGGATTTGACCGTAGGCTCCAACTTTTCAAAAGTATTTTAAGTTATTAACTATATCATGCTTTAAAGAGTAGATAAAATGTGTAAGAACTTTTGAAGAAAAAATAATAATAAAAGGAAAATCCTAATGAACACTCAGCTGTTGACTTTCCGAACTTAAGAATGTGACTAATAACCAGTCAATGGTGGCGCACACCTTTAATCCCAGCACTCCAGAGGCAGAGGTAGGCAGATCTCTGTGAGTTCCAGGATAGCCTGGTCTACAGAGCGAGTTCCAGGATAGCCAGGGCTACACAGAGAAACCCTGTCACACCTCTGGCGACCTTGGCCATTCACAGTCTGTTTTCTAGTAAGAGGTAACCACTTACTTGAATACTATGCTTTAAACACTTTTGAACCTAGATATTAAGTTTTGCTTTTGTTTGAACATCATATAAATGAAATAATTCTACGTGTCATTGTTCTATTTGCATTTTTCTCCTTCACATTTGTCTACCCTCACCCATGCTGATATATACAATTATAGGACATTTTAAGTGCTACATTGTGGTCCAGGTGTGAATACCCCAAAATTTAATTGGCCTTTGTCTGATCATGACTTTATGCTGTTTCTAGCTTTTGCCATTACCTACCATGCTACTAAGCACACACACACACACACACACACACACACACACACACACACACACCTATTTTTCTCTTGCTCATTGGTCATATGTTGTTTCTCTACTAAGAAAGAACCTCTTTTTTTTCTCAGACAGGGTCCAGTCTCACCTCAGACTTTTGACCCTTCTGCCTCAGCTTTCCTAGTGTTAGGATCATACACACAGAGACACACAGACACACAGGCACACACACACACACACAATGTACATAGGCACACGCACACATGCACACAGGCACACACTGAGACATGCACACACACTCACACAGGCACACACTGAGACATGCACATTCACTCACAGACATGCATATACACATAGACACACACATACACACACTCACACATGTACACACACACATAGAGGTGTGTGTGTGTCTGTCTCTGTGTATGCCTGTGTGAGTGCATGTCATGTGAGTGTGTGTGCGTGTGTACATGTATGTGTCTGTGTGTGCATGCACCTATGTGCATGTGTGTTCTGTAAAGTGCCTGCCTTACCCAGGCCTGGAACCAGCAGGCACTCAGTCGGGATTTATTGCTATTTTTATTATTCTCTGTGCCCATTTCGTTCATCTTGCTTTAGTCGACAATATTATCAAGCAGAAGCTGTTTCTGTGTGGGTTTCCCGTCGTGTTACCCACATGATGAAACCTCTAGAAAATTCTGATCTGATGTACAGATTTTCAGCCTGTGTTTCAGCACAGGGATCCAGCGGACACATGGGCACGTGACCTCTGAACAAAAGCTTACAGGCATGTTCTCCCACAGTCATTACACAAGCCCTTCTACAGAATGTTCTAGAAGTTAGTACCTATGTTTTAAGAGAAGTAATTGAGGCTAGAGGACCCAGAACTCAGATCTTCTGACTCCGAAATGTTGCAGTCTAACTCCTTACTCTTTCATTATTTATAGCTTCTTATGTAGCATTAAGTTTCACATCATGATAACTGTTAGAGTCCTCAGAGTTAGTTCGGACATTAGGTCTAGTCAGGTGCCTTCACGAGCTCACACTGTAGCCTCCCCGGCTTGTTTTATCTTGTGAAAAGCTGCTTGAGATCTCGGCCAGAGATTGCATTTCTTTGCCTTATCAAAAGAGCCACCGTCTGAGGACAGTGAGTCCCTGCTGCAGAGTTATGCTGAAGTCACTCAACCCCTAAGGACTGCCTTCTAAGCCTTGGGGACCGACACTCACAGAGGTCTGTCCCTCTGAGACTTCGTGACACTACAGATCTGCCAGCCTGGAATCCTCCCACCACATCTCATCCTGGAGAAAGTGCCCTTCCTGGGCATCAAACCCCTCAAACAGAAAGGGGCAGCCTCTCTTCTCCGTATTGCTCATTCAGCGAATGTGTGAGCCCCGAGGAGCGAGACTACAAGAAAACAGAGCGTTGTCCAAGCTGCTGAGAGCATGAAATCATGGCGAATTTCATGTTCACCAATTCACACACAGTCTAGGGAATTGCACTGAGAAGCCCCGTAGAAATAGGGATCTTTGCCGTAGATGATACTGGGTGACTCCCTGGGGCATAGGCTCGCCACCAGAAAGAGGGACAGAAAGGGAAGACAGAGATGGAATATTTTACTTAAGAACAATCTTTCAGGGCTGGGGGCTTAGCCCAGGGTAGAGTGCTTGCCTGGTATTCATGAGGCCTTGGCTTTGATTCCCAGTACTGCAAAGAATAAAAATAAAAAGAATCCTTTAAGTTGGGTGTGGTGATGGACGCCTGTGATCTCAGCACTGGGGAAATCTAAGGCCGGAAGATTGACATGAGTTTGAGGTAGCCTGAGCTACATGGCAAGATCCTGTCTCAAAACAACAACAAATGATCGACTCAAAATCCTCCTCCTCTTCCTCCTCCTCCTCCTCTTCCTTCTCCCCCCTCCCTCCCTCCTCCTCCTCCTCCTCCTCCTCCTCCTCATATTTTAAATACGGGTCCTTTGACAAGTAGAGGGTGAGGCCTGCAGCTACAGATCGGATGTGGCGAAGCCATTCAGCTAACTGCTCGCGGAGGAAGTAGGGCATGGTGGTTTTGAGTAGAGTTTTGGAGCCACACAGACCTGCTCCAGACTCATAGTTCTGCTATTCTCCTGCTGTATAGCTCAGTCTTGTCCCATTAGCGCGCTGAGGCTCAGTTTGCTCGTGTGAGCCATTTCCATACCATGTAGCATGATAACAACATACGAGAGCTCAACAGAGCGCCCGGATATCTGAAGCGTTCAACATACTTCAACCATTAGGATGTTTTCAGTTTTCCTGCCGCATGGCCTCCTTGTTATCAGGCTAGCTTATCCCGTTGCCCCATTCAGCGAGGATGAATAAGGTAAGCCAGAAGAGCATGGCTACGTCTGAACGTGTGTGCTCCTTCCCCTCAAAACGCTCCTCTGAAGCCTGATCGGTGTGATGGTGTTAAGAGACAACGCTGTCAGAAAGGTGGCGCCTTCACAGAAGGGATGAGAGCTCTTTTGAGAAGACACCTCTCCCCTCTCCCCGTGAGGACATGGCAGGGAGACATCAACCGGGTGAGGCAGAGGTACCTCCATGGAGCCTGCCTATGCTGGCACCTGACCCCCGACTTCCCAGCCGCCAGAATTCTGCTTAGGCAGCACCATGTTCTTTCTGCTGCAGAGAATAAACCGGAACAAATAACTTGACCACGAAAATCCACCTTTTTCATGTAAACATAAGCATATTTAATTTTGCCACTTGGAATAATCGAAGTGAAGCATACAAAAAAGCACCATAAATATTGAAGGGGAAGAATCATGCTCCGTCATGGAGGCACGCAAACCTAGACATACGGCCCTGTGAAGTACGCCCTTTCCTCCACGAAGCCCCCTTTTCAACCCTTACCTCTTCCAGGCCTGGGTGGGCCTGCTTCCTCCTCATAACGGCTTGGAGGCCCAATGTCTGCCTTTCTCTCTCCAGCCGAATTTGACACAACTTCATTTCGCTGTGGTTTCTTCCCTGTGCTAGGCCCTGGAGACACAGAGCTAAAGGGGAGGTGGCACTCAGTCAGAGACGCAGCGCTTAGGAGGGAACACGGCTCCGGGCTGGCTCAGCTCCCATCAGCTGCACACGGAGAAGGCTCCACGTGTGAATTCCTGCCCTCCAGGCTTCCTTCCTCGAAGGAGCTTTTTAGTTGGCTCCTGTCGACAGGCAGACCTCACTCTGTGTCCTTACTCCAGTAATGGCAACACCATTAGCGTCCTCTCTGGCCACCCTTCCTGTTTCCACCATGACATTCTCTCTTCGTCCCCGGGTCCTTCCCACTCTCAGATGCTCCTCAAACCCCACCTCCCTTCAATAGAAAGACAGAAAAATATTAGGGGACAGCCAACTTAGCGTGTGGCGATTCGTTTCTTCAGTGTGTTTTAAAATATTGCAAAGATTAATCTTGAAGCTGTGTTTGTTATTAAAGACCTTTTGTAAGCCAGGCATGGTAGCTCACACCTGTAACCACAGCACCGGAGAGACTGGGACAGGAGGATCATTCCAAGCTTGGGGCCATCCTGGGCTACAGCATGAGAACAAAACAAAAAGTTTCAGTTCCCATCAAAACACACACACACACACACACACACACACACACACACACACACACACACAGCACAAAAACCTTTGTGTTTTGGAAAATAAGAAGAAAATTAGAGGGATATGAGAGATATAGAGGAGATGAGTTCTTGTCTACTCCCCTGCCTCAGCATTCCAACCTTCAGGATGCCTAGGGCCATGAGCTGAAGACAAGAGCTCCCAAGTCAAGGGATGTAGGTGGCCCAGAAGCAAGGACAAGCCACAGAGCCAGAGGCCTGAGAGATTAGCTGAAAGCAAACCTATCAGCCCTAGGAAATGGGGCTAATTCTTCTACCCAAGACCACGACCCAGGTCCCAAGCTTTTGACTGGGTATGGAAGAGAGGCAGAGGACAAGGGAGCATGGGGGACATCATAAGATATGTTTACCAGATTGTCACCCCAAAGAACCAGCCAGAGAATCAGTGCGATAAACTGATTTGCTTATGTTAGCATAATCCTCAGTGGAGTCGCTCCTTCGGGCTCCTCGCCCTTCACGTGGACAACCACACAACCCTTGGGCTCCAAGAAAGGCAGCTCAAGTGGTTCCTAGTTACTAGATTGGGACAAGAAATGGTAATCTGGCCGTAGAAAGGGTGAGTGGCACGTTGCTTTCAAACAACTAGAAAGGAGGGTTGTGTAACTGCACATGGCCCTATTCATTCAGTATTGCCCCTGGGAACCCTTTACTATCTGAGTAATTACTACAGGCTTTCTCATTCTCTGAACCTGGGACTTGTAATGTTTTTCACAAGTGAATATCTATTCATGAAACAGTAAAAGCTACAAATCCTGCCTTCCCCCTTGGACACATATACAACCACATACATACATAGGTGCCTTTCTAATTATTTTAATTCCGTCCTAAAATTAATAAATGATGGGGTCATGTCATTCAATTTAGAGTTCAAATGAGAACTACTTTGTCAAATTAATTATTGTTCAGAACGTTTGCCTGTCCTCTTCTGAGACCTGTAATCAGTCAGAAAGCATATGTCAGGAGACCCAGGCAAGGAGAAGGGTCCCCTTGCATCTGTGCCCAGCTCCGCTGCTGTCATTTCGCACGGTGTGACTCTCTAGCAGAAAGATTTTTCCTTCCATCTCTGTTTTAGTGAGTGAGAAAGGGATACTTGGTATGTAACTGGAGTCCTTTGAGTGACAGGTAATATTGTAAATAAGAAATACTTTTTTGCAATTTCAGAGAAAAAATAATAACTGTTCCAAATCATTTGGCAGTGTTAAAATACCTTACAGTCTGGAGCTGTATTTATACACAACTCTGAATAATAGGGAAATGGAAAATGAGTTCCAGGGACCCGTTTATGGTCATTTGAAAGTTTGATTATCTAGAAAAACACAGCACACAAATAGTTTCAACCAAATTAAATTCAGGAGTAAATAATAACACTACAGACATATGGTTGAGCCCCACAAGGTTATTTCCCTCATACAGCAGTTTGCCTTTTCAAAGAAAAGATTTCCCAAGCATGAAAACAAAAGCTATATAGCTAATTACTATTATTTAAATAAAACGTGAGTTTAAATATAACATACTTGGGAAATTCATTTCATTGTCTAAATTAGGATGGTTGTTTAGTTTTTCATTGAAGATGGACTATTCATTTGGCTTCCCAAGGAATCTCTCTGGCTGTGCTGGGCCAAGAGTTTATCTGTAGAGTACAGTTAGTGGAAGCATCGGTGACCGACCCTCTTGATAACTCCATCCAGAAAGAAAGGCTGTTCAAATGTGCCAAGACAGAGCAGCAACCCCCTTGGCTTGGCACCTTCCCCTCCCCATTAGTCCTTGAGGTATGTTCATGCATGTCGGGTGTTGGGGTTTAGAAGATCTTGCACTCATTGATGGAGAAGAGCTTCCTTCTGTTTCTTCTCCTGGCCTGGTTGACAGCCGTTCTGACGGCACACTCAAATACCTGCTGTACTCCCCGGTTGCTAAGGGCTGAGCACTCCAGGTAGCCCTTGGCTCGCACATCCTGGGCAAGTCTCTTCCCTTCTAAGGCATTGATGCAAGAGGCCCTGTGGGGTCCTACCTCTCTCTGGTCAGTCTGTGTAGCCACAACCAGCACCGGGGTACAGGGCAGGTTGCTCCTGATCTCACTAATCCATTTGTTCTTCAAGTTCAGGAATGAGTTATGATTGGCCACGGAGTAGCACATGAGTACCACGTCCGCCTGCTGGTAGGACAGGGGGCGGATGCTTCGGAAAGCATCGTTGCCGGCAGTATCCCAGAGGCCCAGGCTGATCTGGATGCCATCCATGAAGACGTCCACGCCGGTGTTCTCGTACACAGTGGGCTTGTAGGCCTCCGGGAAGGTCTCAGAGGTGAAGCGCACCAGCAGTGAGGTTTTCCCAACAGCACTGTCCCCTACCAACACGCATTTGATAGAACTCAGCATCTTCCTGTCCGAAGTCCTGCTGACGAGTCCAGGCGCCTAAGGGAAGTAACTCTCAGTGGGCTGCTGCAGCAGGCTCCATCCAGCAAGAAGACGTCAACCGGGGTTTATGTTCTCAGAATCTCGGGCATCAATTATAGATGTTCCTTCTCCCGTCCAGCCAGGTGAGAGGCAGCGACTGCTTGGAAAACCTCTGAAGCTTGGTTGCCAACTAGAAGAGAAAGAGAATGGGGGAAACTGAGGTTTTTCCTTTCTGACGACAAGGAGCCTCCCCATTGCCAAAGTAATTAAAACACGAGGGTCCCATCTCAGGGTAGCCGTTCAACCCCATTCATCCAGTCCCATCCCTACCCTTGGCAAAATAAGTTAAAGCCTGTCACCCAATGCTTAGCACCTATAACATCTCCTGGCCATGTAGTTGGTCCTTGAAAATCAGCCCTTGAATGACAGGTATAGTGGTTCCCATCTCTAATCCCAGGGATCCAAGAGGCTGAGGCAGGAGGATCCTGAGTTAGAGGTCAGCTCGAGATACATTGCAAGAGATCCTATTGAGAGAGAAGGGGAGGTGAAGAGAGAGAAGGAGAGGGGAGGGGAGGAGAGGGGAGGAGAAGCAGTTTGGTGATAATAACACAAGGAACTACTCTGGTCACCACATAAAAAAGGATTCAGTTACCCACCTGGTGTGTGAATGACACTGGTAAACAGCTCTTGACTGGCCAAGAAGCAGGAAGGCAGCCGGGTGAAGGCAGCTGGGTGGGTGTGGCCTCAGCCTCTAGCGGATCCCAGCCACTTTTTGGAGCTGCAAAGAAGAAAAATTAGTGAGGGACGAATACCATACACAATTCCCTTCACTTGTTGGGTGATCGTCCAGTCCTTGGCTTACTCGGGAATTTCAGTTGAAGCAGAAATCAGTGGAACATTAACACTTTGCTGTGGTTTCTCTCTGAGATTCTTTGGTAAGGCTGGTTAGATGGGAAGGATCCTTTTCAGAGTTCTCTGCAGCTGAAAGCAGGCTCCGTTAGCTACATGGCAGGGTATAGTTTTCGACGTGTTGTTCGCAAGTCTCGGTTTACACGTATGTAAAACTGTGATGAGTTTAGAGACGTGGAAACTAAGTTCTTTCTTTCTTCAACAATTTGGGACCATCCCCTGCTTGGCAGGCACAGTTCCACGGCCCCTAACTAAACAAAACAACTTGCTGGAAAACAACTCTATTCACCACCAACCTTTAAACAGGACTGCACAAATACGGCAGGACCTGCGTTTTATGAAGGGGTAGGTGGACCCTCATTTGTGGGTGGGTCAGAAAGCCCCAGGCAAAGAGCTCGGTCTCACACACAGCTATCATCTACCGGGTACATTCTCTCAAGGCCAGCCCACTTCAGGCACAAAAGCTCTTCCAGATCAAAATTCGGAGTAAAGGTTGTTAATGCAATTGGCCTTATTAACCAGCCTGATATCGATCATCCCGGCATACCACACAAAAAGCACACCCCAGGCAGACCTCTGTAAAAGGCAGCATTTAAAATCTCCCTTCTAAATCCTAAGGATTCCTCCAAAGACTTTTTATGTCCTTGCCACCCCTCAGTGTCTGTTTAATTAGACATGATAGCCTTTGGGAATGAGTTAAATAAGTAGCACATGATTTTTATGAATTCTTTTTTCCTCTGGACACACAAGCTATGTGACCTTGGCCAAGTTACTTAACCTGTCTGAATCTTGGTTTCCTCTAAAAATGAGCTGTATGGGGGCCCATCATGGTCTCTATCATCACACTGAAGATGCCCGTCCTTAATCGTCGCTGGCAGAGGGGCTACAATGTCACATGTTCACCAGATTCACGTTGGGATACTCTCACTCAAGATGGCCTGGACACCCGTTTGTCACCAGACCTTTGACAAAAGGGCTCCATAATGTCTCAGACCGACTTTATCCCCTTAGATCTATAGGGCAACCTAAACATGAATTTGTGACTTTGTTTACAGCCAACACCACCTTATTTAATTTTTTTTATGTCAGTATAGCAGGACAGAATTAGTAAAGCGATGCATATGTCAGATCTGTGGATTATTTCAATGAAGTATTTCTAACAGATTTATTGTCAGAGTTCCTGAGTGAATATCTATGACAAGACGCCACGTTAAGAGAGGGAGAAAAAGGCAGGCAGACTTAAAGTGGAATCTGAAGTGCCTAATTAGCTACCTGTATAGTCACATCCAAAGAGCTTCTTAGCCTCATAATGCCTCGGTTTCCTCCTGGTAAAAACCAATGTAATAATATCTGCTTCACATGGTTGTGGAGAGTACCCTGTGGGCTTAAATTCTTCTTCGTCTAACACATCACATGAACACATTGTATGAATGCAATAAACACTTCGCACCCCTTATTACCAGTAACATTGTTAAGCGATCATTATTAAATATAATGACAAGCAATTATTCATTCACATGAGGAATTTGAAGCATCACTAAAGAGATTTCTCTGGCCAAGAGTGGACTGTGTATCTTATTCACGAAAATAAAACCAAAAAAAAAAAAAAAAAGACAGAAATTTCTTCTCACAGCACAGAAACAAAATAGTACATGAATGAAGAAATGTTGAGATGTGTCCCCATAGGGCTCAAAAAATGTCAGACAGGAGAAAAAGGCTCTGTTAGAGCAAAGCAACCTTCCCACACAGCCCATCGTGACTGAGTGACGCATCTCAGGGACTCAGTTCCCCAAGCTGCCAGCGGTCAGGCACAGTGAACTTTCCTGGTAGCCCCACTGAGACTGAAGCCGAAGAAAAACCTGCATTGTCTGACCCGGGAGCACAAGAACCAAAGCCCTGCACTATTCTGTAAGGTGGAGTGACAGATAGGCCAGGCCTTTAGCAGATGGCCACATATGGAGCTGGGGGAGGGGCAGAAGTCCAGGCTAGAGCAACGCCCTACAAAGACATGATCTTCAATCTCCAACACGGGTCATATCCACCCTCGGGACAGCCGCTATGGCCCACGTGGACGCTGGTGGGCTTCCAGTGGTTTCTCCTAAAGAAGGACATTGTCCGTTACACTGTAGGCGGGGGCAGGAAATAAAAGCGTGTTTTCAGCCCTCTGTCATGAGTGGCTGACTGGTCAGGTATCCACTACAGGGCTCTATCAGGATGAGTTATTTCAAGCGTCCTCTGACATGTTTTAAGGAATACCCTTCAGTGACAGTTAGGCTGGATCTCTGCGGCTTCCGACTAGAGTAACTGAACCGCCAATCCCAGTATGTCCGAGTCTCGTCTCAGTAGCTTGATTTCCCTTCTTTCTCTTCCTATTGTTTCTGCCAAAAAAAAAAGGGGGGGGGCACCTTCTGCAGACCTCCACAGTTCAGACACAGCGTCACATGGAAGAGGGCCACCGTGTTACAAAAGCAAGGTGCTGGTCCTTCTGCCTGCTCCGACAAAGGATCAAAAGGAGGCCGAGAGAGGACTTCCGGCGTGAGCTATCCTAATCATCCTCCTGAGGGCCACACGGAAGGCCTCAGCTCTCAACTTGCACAGACAGACTTTATTTCTCACTAGGACCCCTTCCACAGACAAATTCGGTGATACTCCAGGGGTCAAAAACCTGCCCCTCACTCACGCCAAAGCTCTACCCGTTCTCAAAAGTCTTCCTAGACCCCCACCCCCCATCTCCCGTTGCCTATGTACTATCTCAGACGCCCTGCTCTGTCCCCATACGTCCCCCTATGTTTACTTGACCCCCAAATCAGCACCCAGCTGAACAGGCTAGCCCCATTTGTAAAACTGGAACCAGACCACGTCTCCACGGGGAGCTCGTGAGGACCAGGTTTAGATGCAATTGCGGCAGCTAATCCCTGCTGCGTTAACCATACTTGCTCATAGAGACCCGCTCTCAGGTTTTCCCCGTAAAGCAACGCCCCCTCAGAACACGTCATTTAATAGAAAACAAACATCAGGTTCTAACTGTGTGGAGGGTTTTGAGTAGATGGCTTTGGTGGAGGTGCTCTGGGCACAGCAGTTTGTGCCTGCCATCCTAGCACTGTGAGGCTGAGGCAGGATTGCTGTGAGTTCCAGGCTAGCATGAGCTACAGAGTAAAACCTTGTGTTCTCTTCTCCCCTCCCCCCCCTCACCTCTCCAAAAGAAAAATCCACTACAGTTCAGCGGTTCAGCCGTTCACCAGTTGAGCCACGAATACCATATGTAATTTCCTTCAAGTGTTGGGTAATCGTCCAGTCCTGGGGTTCTGTGGGAATTCGTGTTAAAGCGGAAATCACTGGAACACTAACAATTTGCTCTGGTTTCTCCCTTGAAATTCTTTTGTAAGGTTGGTTACTGATGGGGAGGACCTGCTGTGGAGGTCTCTGCAGCTGAAGGCAGGCTCCATGACCTTCGCTGCAGTGTGTGGCTTTCAATGGGTTGCTTGAACATGTCAAGGTGGGCTGTTCCTGAGACCTGTGATTGTAGGTGAATCTCGGTTCCTTCATTTTGTTTATGTGAATTTAACAGGACATTTACTGAAACAGGCATGCTTTACTTGTGCAATTTGTTTACTCTCTGTGTGTGTGTGTGTGTGTGTGTGTGTGTGTGTGTGTGTGTGTGTGAAGTGCTGGGATCATACCCTAGAGCCTTGTACTCATGAGGCGAGTACTCACTGAACTACATCCCCACCCCTGACCTGTGCAACTCTGAAGAAGTGCTTTGTTGGTGTTGTTTTGTTTCTATTTGGGGTTTTGAAAGGAAGGTAAGGCTGAGCTGGACCCCTGAAACCAACAAAATTTCTGGGCTGAGGATGTAATGCAATGGTTTATCACTCACCTAGCATGTGTGAGTCTCTGGATTCAATCCCCCACCCCCAAAATAAATGAAGATGTACATCGGTGCCTTTGATTTAAAAAAAAAAATCTGGCTCTGGACATCTAGATTTGTTTAAGTTTCCTGAAAGCACTCGCTCCAATTTCTGGTTCCTTTTTATGTCAGTTTTACTTTCTCCTTTTGGAAGAAGGCACAGGAAGCCGGGCACCTATGTTACAGTTACAGACACCACAGTTACCGTCCACTAAGCCTCCCTCCTCCTGCTTCTTGCTTACACAAGAATAGGGGGGTTTGTTTTGTTTTATTTGGGTGTTTTGGTGTTTTGGTGTGTGTGTGTGTGTGTGTGTGTGTGTGTGTGTGTGTGTGTGTGTATTTTAGATGTTCAAAAAAATTGGAATACCACCTGGGTATTAAATGCCATTAAGGAATATTACTGATTTTGTTACGTGACGATATTTTTTTTAAGTCATCACACAAGTTGAGCATCACTAAGGTGAAAATTTTAAAAAAAAATCTGAAATACGGCAAAATCTGAAACTTTATTTTGTTTTTTCACATTTATTTATTGTGGGGAGACGGGGTGTATGCCATGCCGTGTTTATGGAGGTCAGAGGAAATTTGCCCAAGCTGATCCTCTCCTTCCACCTTGCGGGTTATAGGGATTGAACTCATCAGTGCCTTATCCCAGCTGAGCCATCTCGATGGCCCAGAATCTGAAACTTTTTGAGTATTAACATAATCTTAAATTGAAGATTCCACACCAAGGAAATTAGTTTCATGCACAAAATTATTAAAAATACTGTGTATTATTACCTTCTGGTATATATATGAATCGTATATGAAATATTAATGATTTAGGCTTGGACTCCATTACCAACATATATCATTATGTATATGAAAATATTCCAACCTAAAATATCTGAAATTTAAAAATATTTCTGTCTCAAGCAGTTTAGGTAAGGGATAGACACTCAGTGCACATATGAACATCTGTT